ACACACACACACACACACACACACACACACACACACACCTTGCCACTGGGATGCTCAAAGGCTTCCTGTCGCTGCTTTGATTCTCAGCTCCGACGTCACATCAATTCACCAGCAGCTCCTCCTCCTTTTGACCTCCATTCTTCTTCTTGACTGATATTCTCAGTAGCCACTCTTGTTTATCATTTTACTTTTTTTTTATTTGTTTCTTTTGAAATCTGAACCCCATCCAGCCTAATTCAGCTACTCTTCTTCGTGGTCTGGTCCTCTTTATTAGCTCTCCATTTCTCGATTTTTCTGACCTATTTTTTGATTTTATTCTTCCTGTGCTTCTCATGAAAATAGCATTATTTTATTCTGACATTTATCCTCATTTCAGCTACTTTTGCATTGTGGGGCTTATTTCTATCCTCTTCCGTTCTTCTTGTTGACTTGCGTACCAACACAAAATAAATAACCTTCACGTCCAATAAATGTTGTTTTGCTCCAACYCAGAAACAGCACAAATGACCTTTAGTTTTAATATTTTATAGAAAGAATGGGTGACTCAATACTTTGAGGTAAAACTTAAACAACATTGCCATCATTTTTTGCTAAAATACAGTTGAATAAAGTATATTTTTCAGATGCAAACATCACAAAATTGCAAAATCTTTTGAAATCCAGTGTAATTAATTYTAAATCACCATCATGTGACCATCTGTACCACAGTTCATCTCTTGTCAGGATGGGATTCATGAAAACTTGTATCTGTGTTATGAGCTGTCAATCACTGTCACTGTATCAACACAGGCTGACTGATGTGAGCCGCCGATGCAGAGCATCAACATGATCAGAACACAAAGATCCACAGGAAAAAGAAGCAGTAGATAATTCTGCTCTCGTATCGTTCWGTTGAAAGCTTCTTTTTGAGTGAGAAAAGAGAAAAACATGATAAAGTCCTGCTTGTTGTGTTTTTAGCCTCTTTTTATGGCTGTAAAATGATTATGGGACTTATTTGCACCAATTTCACACAGGAGTTACAGCTGCTCATATTATCTCAGAGCTTTCTAAGCAACTATAATCATTCCATCAAAAAATGTTATTGATTTTTAATGTAATTTTTAATTTCTTAGCTTCAGTTGAGGCAAAAATAATAAAAGTTGGCTTTACATCACATGTGTGAAATCATTCATATATAAATGAAAGCTGGTATTTATTAGCATATTATGTTTGATATATAAATGCATTTGATTTCTGAACACTGTTGTAAAGTAGTTTCATGATTGCTTCTGTTAATCAGTGTTAGAGGGATTTTTAAACACTATTGGCTTTTTAATGCTGCAAAATACTATTTACACAAATCAGCAAAATAGTTCTGATCATCTGACTGATATTAAAAAGTTCTCATATTTCATATTGATTGAAATCAGCAAAATTTAAAGATMAATTGAATATTTTAACTGGTTAGTTCACCTAATCCTAACACCTGCTCTGTCTTCAGATCAGTTCTGAGGCCAAAACCAGCTCCAGCTCTTCTACAACATAACACAAAATTGCTCCAACTCAAAGCAAAAAATTTCACCATGTTTATTTGGAAATAAATAACAAACCTCAGATGGCTTTTATATTGGTAATTTTAATCATATATTTTTATATTAAACCAGCTTTAAATTTAATATTTTTAATTGTCTTCAAATATACAAATACAGAATTAAGACTTGAATGTTAAATGTATGAACCAATGCCATACAAATACCCAGCCTCAGCCTTTTACCCAGGCAATTTCAGCTGCTTATCTACACTTCCTTTTGGTTCTGGCCACTTCCTGGGAGTAAGCTGTCACGCCGATTGGAGGTTCTCTCTAACATGTGACCTTAGACACCAATCCTGAGTTCTGATGAGAAATAATTATGTGTTGTGAAAGAATTGAAGGCGTGTTTTACTAAACGTATCACCGGAGTACACCCTGCTTAAAATGACCACTCAAAACAGACTGTACATCACTAAATCTAATAAAAATTTGATRATTTTGCAAAATAGGTTATCAGAATACACCCTGGTTCTCCTATAAAACAGTATGTGTGATGTGTTAACAACAGAATAAATTTCCTTCAGTCTCATGAAGGATGAAATGTTTTTATAAATGTGTTTACAAAATGACTAAACCTCAGGAAGTTAAATAAATGTATTTATATACTATATAAAGCTCTAACTTAGTGAATATAATTAATCATTTTAGTTCAACTAAAAGGAGTCATGTGACCAAAACCTGGGTTTCTAATTTCCAGAAGAAGGAAAGCAGGCTGATGGAATATTTGATGTATGTTGTTGAAGCATCAGAACCAATCAGAGAGATTTATGAGGAGTCAGAGGACTTCCCCCTTGTGGATTAACCAATCAGATGAATGAACTAAACTATGGCAGCTCTAAAATACAGTCTTTTTGTCTCTTGTCTCCGCCCCTTGAGGGGGACACTTGGGACACACAGCTGTGAATTCTTCTGTTCAACTTCTCTGTAATAGATTTATTAACTTTTCTGAAGTGTTTGTCTCTCATGAAAATGAACACACTTAATAATAATCCCAGCGGGACACCTACTTATTGAATATAATGAGTTCAAATTAAATCTAACTGAGTAAAATTATTAAACCGAGAAGTGCAACTTATGATACACATAATTAAATGGTGCAAAGGGACCACACATTCTGGGCACCTTCATACCTCCTATGATGTTTTTGGGTAAAGATTTGTTAAGATTTTTTATTTAATTGCTGATAAAAGCCTTGTGGGGCTGTGTTCAAATAAAACTGGCAGAAGTTTCTGTTGGATAACAAAACAACTGTGCAGAAAGAGATGTTTCATTTCGGTTTGGAAAATTTAGAAGCAAACAGTCTCACAGAAAACAGTCAGAAAACAGATTTTATTTTTACCAACATCCTGTCGTACAACACTCAGTCCTTGAATCTCCTTCTGCATCTCCTTCTGGGCTCAGAGGGCAAACAGGAAATAAAGTTTAGAACAGAAAAAAAAGATGCTCACCTAAACCCCCGGCTACGATGACCCGTCCTCCCAGGCATCCAGCTACAAAGTCGGCCCGTTTCTCTCTCATCCTGGACGTTCGAGTGGGTTTGATCCAAATACCTGCCAAAGATCAGGAGGAAGGCAATCAGCATGCACTGTCTACAGTTCTGCAAGCAAATATACCATATAAAGAATATTTAGTTCAAGCATGAAGCTTTTTTTTAAAACCAGAAATTTTTTCACATTAAATGAGTTTACAAATGTTTTTTTTTCAAAATAAAACTATTTGACTCTAAAGAATAAAAGTTGAAACAAATCCAGCAAGTCAGAATTATTACAAGCATCACAGAAGAATGAACAGTTTCAATATGTTTTCATTGTTAATGCAGTGAACACTCTCTATAGTAAGCTGCAATAAAATACAGTTTGGTAATTTACTCAGCATAGAGGCCTTAAGGGTGTTCTTTTATTAAGTATTTGACAGAATGTCAAAACTTCTAAAAAAAGATTAAGTAAAAGTATTACTTTGTTTGACAATCCTATCTAATAAAAATTTAAACAAAGGCAGACAGCTGAAACCATGAGGAAAATATAGAAGGAAAAAAATGAAGGAAATATACAATATGAAGAAGAAGACCTGCCCCAGGAGCTCCACAGCCCTCTGCTCCTTTTCCATAAAACCCCAAACAGATTAAATTTCTATATTTGGTACCATGACAGGAGGTGACACATCCCATTCTAACGGCACTTAGTCTCTGTTCTAAAAGACCCGGTAAGAAGGAGCTGCAGGTGTACACAAATGTYATAAACCACATGAAGAAATGTTATTAAAGGGATCCCCGATTAGTTGTAACATTAGACTTTATATGATAAACACATACTTTAACTGTAAAATAAAGACTGTAAAATARTGTAGGATGTTCAGTTTTTATCATTTTTAAACTAAAAGTTTTAAAATATATTACACGGACGGGGCCATTTTATTTACACGCAAAGCATTCTGGGTAAATGATGACATCAACTAGGTCATCGGCTGAGCGAGCTATATCCACCCTGAAGGTTAATCTTGGACAATATCTGATGATCGACTCTTTTAAATGAAACCAGAGAGCGTTGACAGAGAGGAGAAGGTAGAAATGACTCAGCCTGGAACTGAAAATATGGATGGAGGACAACAGAGCTGCTTCATGGAAGAAGAACCTCAGTTTAGCCTGTTAGCTTTAGCGTTAGCCCCGACGCTATCACCATATACACGTATTAGCTCAGCGCTACACATTCTCCTCTCGTCACTGAGGTCCTCCATCCACATGACAGAGAGGAGAACGCAAACGTGACTCAGTCTGCAACTGAAAATATGGATGGAGGACCTTAGTTTAGCTTTAGCTATATAAGGCAATATAGTGTCAGGGCTGGTGTGAAGGCTAACAGGCTAAGATGAGGTTCTTCTTCCATGAAGCAGCTCTGTTGTCCTCCATCCATATTTTCAGTTCCAGGCTGAGTCATTTCTACCTTCTCCTCTCTGTCAACGCTCTCTGGTTTCATTTAAAAGAGTCGATCATCAGATATTGTCCAATATTAACCTTCAGAGTGGACATAGCTCGCTAGCAGCCTCGCACCGAGGACCAAGTTGATGTCATCATTTACCCAATACAAGAAAATACAAGACAGCCCCTCTTAAAACTGAAAAAAAAAAAAGCCAATTAAAAATAGATTATAAATGTCAGATGAGTGTTTAAGTATGATTTTCAACCCTTCTGGTAAAAGAAAACAAGCCAACAACTGTACTTTATTYTAAAATGGCATTTAATTTATAACATACTGTATGTGGTATTTGTAACAGTTCCACCTTTTTATGTCAATATGTGTCAGATTTGAATTTACCCCAAAAAATCAGACTCTGCTGATGCGTCGGCCCAACAAAAACACAGAGTAATATTTTATCAGCACAACTGCCCAAACCAAGGAGCCAGCCGCAGACAATGAGCAGATAATTACATCAGCAGAGTACGACCTTGGCTCYAACTGCCTCAAAGTACCGGAAAAAGACGTCACCGGGTTTTATTTTTAAGTGAAGCCTTTTTATTTACCGTCAGTGAGCTCGTCATGGGACATCCATGTTTTTTTATTTATCCACATTCAAGAACTTATTATTTTTATTTCAAGGTCACTTGGAAGGTGTGAAGGAAATAAAACATTTTCTCAAAAATCATCTTCATGCCTTTCAACAGCAAACTGTGCAGGCTGAGCTGAAAAGCCTCTTGTGGATGTGTTCGAGGGACAAAGGTCACCTCAGATAAATGTAAAGGGGAGAACACTGCTCCTGCTACTGGAGAAGCATCATAAAACTGTACGGACGCGTGAAAGAAAAAACGGGATGAAATCAAATTTGAAATGAAGTCTGTGTGTGAATGTGTGTGAATGTGTGTGAATGTGTGTGTGCATGGGTGAATGTCTGAAGTGTAAAGTGCCTCGGGGTCCAAGTGGGCTTGATAAGGCGCTATATAAGTTCAAACCATTAACCATTTTACGTAGTCAAAGCCTTTTTTTTTTCTTTTTTTTTACTTTTGCTGAAAAGTAGTGACCAGTAACACAGTTACCATAGAACAGTGGTTGTAACGACACTGAAAGACACTGGTAAATTTACAAAAATAAAAACAGTTTTTCCTCTAACTTTTTTTCCCCACCAGCTTCTGAACTGCTCATATTTCTCTCCATGCATCATCACCCAGGAGAATTAACAGAAGGCATCCTATTGTTGGAAAATCCCATTCATCCACATTCCTGCTATTGGGTTTTAACAAAAAAGAGGAGAAAAGCAATCCTGAAATGAAAGAATTAACACGTTTTTAAATGAGGTCCTTCACCCTCAGAAACTCGCTAAAATCAAACAAAGTGATTTCCTAAACTGTGAAAAGTCTTGAGAGAGATTTGTTGTTGTTGTTTTTTTCCTCAAGATGCACAAACGTGTTTTGGAGCTGGCTGTAGAGAAGTGACAGAGTTGCAGTGCAGCTAAATGTTAATCTTTGTGTCAGAGCTGGGGTGGGAGGGAGGGGGGGGGCAGCAGCTCTCTAATAGATATGCTGCCTGCAACAAATCTGCTATTCAGCTGTGGAAAATGGAGAAGCCAGATAGCATGCAAATACCGGAAAAATCTATGTGGAGACAGAAGATGGGAGCTGAGCTTTGAAACAAGCACGTAGCTTGTAACTCGTGCTGTTCTCTTTTCTCTGCGCTTTGTAAATTAGTCGACAAAGCCACATATRGACGGCTGCACCCAAAATTTAAGCTCAATTTTCTTCCGCTTATTAAAAATTTGTTTTGAATTTTAAGTGTGAGATAAAAACCTTAACCCAAACACCTTAAAACATAAGTAAATTATCTATTTTAAAGCTATACAAAATGACCCATCTTATCGACACAAGGATCAAGTCTAAAAGTGGGATGTGGGGAAACAGGCAGATAAAGTGTTTTGATTAAAACATTTGCAAAAAATTGCATTTTGTCAAAACTTAAATAAATCCTTATGGATCATCTGAATGAACTGTCTGAAATATGATTAAAAAAATCGAAGCATGTTTTTTGAGCAGTAGCAACAAAAAAACTGATTTTAAGCAAAAACATCTTAAAATCTTTAGTTAGCAAAGTTTTTGTTTCTTTCCCGCTTTACTATTTTGTTTCCTCTTTATAATGACTTCTAAAACAATCCTCATTAAAATGACATAAAATTGGGATTCAGACCAAATATTTATGTATCATTGTAACCAACAAGACAAATTAAGTCATGTCTCTGGATCTGCTGATATCAGYATGATCCAGGTATCAAACTGTAGCTTTTAAAGCAGGAATCTGAAAATGTAATTAGGTCATTTTGACCAAATTTGACTTAATTCTCATTTCGATGTGATGGGTCACATATTTTCTGTTTTTATTCATAATAAAACTCCGAAAGTTATTATTAAATCTACAAACCGAGCAACTTGGCTGCCAACTCGGCAAACACAAAAATGGCTAAAGTATATTTCAGCCAATTTCCTAAACATTAAGCCAGTAACGCACAGCTGAGAGTTAACAATCACCACACGTTGCACACGATCTTTGCAAAACTGTTCATGAAACATCAGACATATATTAATAAAATTCAGAAACCATTACTGGATGAACATCTATGGAGCTGTCAACACTTGTCAACATTAAAATACAACAGAGTGGCTTTAGCTCAGTTAATTAAACAGATAATTAGCTGAATGTGATTCTAGTAAAGTCAATTTATTTAATTTKTCTCTTTGCTAACAGACTTCAGACTAATCAGATGATTTATTTTGATTCAGCTCTTCCTGTAAACTCTGTCTATATTTCTGCAATTTATTTTTTAAGATAATGAAAATGTGCCTTATAATGAATTCTGATTGGTGTGAACAGATTTATTCCTCTCAGCTAAATATGAACAAACTCTTTGGGTTTGAAGCATTTTGTTGAATTCTATAACTATGCTAAACATGTAAAAAAATGACAAACGAGTTTTCCACCTTTATATAAATAAAAAAGTCAATCTATGTGACAGAGAAACGCTTTGTGTTTTGAGCCGAGGTGATCTCTTTGTGTCTCACAAAGCTTGTCTGGRAGAGCGACCCAGACCATTCTCCCATGGAAAAAAAAGAAGAAAAAAAAKCATTTTTCTCTGCCATTTTAATCTACAAGAGAAAAAAAGATGAGTCACTTCGAGGAGGAACTGCTGCCATTTGTCAGCACAAATTATTAATTCTGTTATTCGCGCCGATGACAAAGTTTTGTGGAGAGAAACGAGGCAGTGATTTACTTTGGCTGAAATTTTTGGACCAACTGGCTGCAGCAGCTGCTTACACACACACACACACACACACACACACACACACACACACACACACACACAC